CCACCCCCGGGAACGCAGCACAGCCCAGCCCCTTCCCTCCCTCCGCCACCACGAAGCACCCACTGGGCAGCTCTTGCCACGCAGGTGCCCGCGGGGGCCACCAGCCCACCTGTGTGTGACCCGCCTGCTGCCAGCGGGCTGGCCCACAGCTGCTGGCACCCAGCGTGGGCAGGAAGCCACCACAGCTGCCAGAAAGCTTACAGCGTGGTTTTCCTCCCAGCTAAAGGGCCCCTTCTCCCCCAGTTCATGGCTCTGAGGGACCTCCCGGCTTAGCTGGACTCGGGTCCATCAAAGGGCTCAGGTGGAGGGCAGGGAAAGCTCCATGAGGGGCAGACACTCCCTTCCAGACTTCAAAGAGCTGCTGTGGCATCCAAGGGGGAGCAGGGCAAGGTCCCACCACGCTGTGACCAAACCCTGGACCTTGGTCCCTTCCCCAGAGAAACCACGGACCTTCTCCCAGCGAGAGAACAACTTCACTGTGAAGATCTTCACCTTCCAGTTCTTCACAAACTTCTCCTCGCTCATCTACGTTGCCTTTTTCCTGGGACGGTGAGTGTTGGCTGGGGCCTGGGGGGCAGCCCTGGGAGCCTGGGCTTGGGGCAGACATCCCATCCCCAACCCTCCCTGGGGTCTACGGGCAGCCCAGCCCCCACCCAGGCACAGGGACCCCATTTGGAACCCCAGGAGGGCCATGACTTTTCCCCACGGGCATGGCATGTGGGAGAAGCCCCTTGGCCCCCCGGCAGTGCCCGGAGGATGACGTCCCCCACCCCACACCTGGATGTTCATCCCAGGGGGTCCACAGCGGGGCTCCCCAGGTACCAGAGCTGCTGCTTCCACCCTCAGGATCAACGGCCACCCAGGGAACTACGTGCGCATTGCTGGCCGGTGGAGGCTGGAGGAGGTGAGGGACTCGCTGTGAAGCTCTGCTCGCACACCACAGCTCCTCCTCTCCCTTTCCCTGCTGCCCAGCAAGGCTCTGGGAACCTCAGCTCCCTCCTGGAGCCTGGGCCAAACAGCCCCCGGGGCCAGGCTGCCCTGCTCGCGGGGCACAACCCCTCGTGTCCCTTGGCAGTGCCACCCCAGCGGCTGCATCACCGACCTCTTCATCCAGATGGCCATCATCATGCTGCTCAAGCAGACCCTCAGCAACATGATGGAGTACCTCGTCCCGTAAGCTCCCCCCCAGCTCCCGGGCACTCCTGCACGCTCAGGACAGCTCCCGGCTCCTGCAGAGAGTCACCCTGGTCTCGGGGCCAAGGTTTCCTCCTTCTCCTTCCTTGGCTCTCCAGGGCTGTCCCTGGGAGCAGCCTGGCCCTGCTGTCCCCTGCAGACAGACAGGCAGACAGACAGGCAGGCAGACAGACAGCTGCTCCCTCCCCTTGCAGCTGGGCGAAGCACCAGGTACGCAGGCGGTGCCGGCGCCCCAAGAGGAGAAGGATGATGCTGGGGGAGGAGGAGGAGGCTGAGGACCCCTGCAAGAGGCAGTGGCTGAGCAACTATGAACTCGACGAGGTCAACATCTTCAGCTTGTTTGATGAGTTCCTGGAGATGGGTATGTAGGGGTGAGGGTCCAGCGAGGAGAGGGGTGATGGGTGCAGACCCCCGTGCCTCCCTTGGCTGGACAGAGCCTGGGGAGCCCACAGGTAGGCAGGGGAGACCCAGTCCCATGCCCAGCCCCACCCCAAGAGCCCTGACACACACCACAGGTGGTGGCTGCACCCCAGCACCCGGCGTTTCCCCCCGCAGTGATCCAGTACAGCTTCACCACCATCTTCGTGGCTGCCTTCCCCCTGGCCCCCCTGCTGGCCTTCTGCAACAACCTGCTGGAGATCCGCCTGGATGCCATCAAGATGATGCGGCTGCAGCGGCGCATGGTGCCCAGGAAGGCCAACGACATCGGTGAGATGGGGCCCCAGCAGCACCCTCCTCCCTGCCCTGCTGCTTCTGCTGCAGCCCCTGCCCCTCCGCGAAGCCCCCAGGCACCCGTCTGCCAGGGACTGGTACCACTTCTCTGTGGAGCTGGAGCACAGGGAGACCTGTGGGTGGGGAAGGAGAAGCCATTTCAGACCCTGGAGCTGCCTTCCTTAACCTCTTGGCCACACCAAACCTGTCCCTGAGCTGGGGCCTGGCCTGCAGCCCTGGAGCAGCAGCAGGGAGCTGGCAGGGGGGCCTCACTGCCCACCCCTCTCCCACAGGAATCTGGCTGCAGGTCCTGGAGGCCATCGGCATCCTGGCGGTCATCGGGAACGGGCTGGTGATCGCCATCACGTCCGACTTCATCCCCGTGCAGGTCTACAAGTACATGTACAGCCCCTGCACGAAGGGAAACAACACTGATGTGGAGTGAGTACAGCCAGACACCCCTGCCTGCCCCTGTGCCACTGCTGCAGAAGCACAAGGCACTGGAAAGTCCCCAAGGGGGGAGTGGAGGGACAGGGGAGGGTTTTCCGGATGGCACTGTCTCCAGCATCCCAGTCAGCCTCCCGCTCACAGGGTTCCCTGACTGGGAAGAGCACCATGGAATGCTGGAGAGCAGCTGGACTGCTCTGGTGCCTGTCTGTGCTCTCTCCTGCTCTCCCCTGTCTCCCTCAAGCCTTGGCTCACTGGCCAAGTTCAGTCAAACGGGGCAGAAGTCTCAGAGAAACTCCCCTCCTCGGGTTTTGTGAACATGGACAGGCAGGGAGCGGGAGCCCCAGCGGGGTGCTGGCTCCTCCAGGTGCGGGGCTACAGTCTGAGCTCAGCCATACTAGTCACCTGGGACTCCACACACCAGGGAAACCACGGAAAGGAAAGCTGCAGGCAGGCAGGCTTTGTAGCAATCAGAGGACTCTGCGTCCCCTGGAAAGGCTCTGGAGCTGCAGATGGTGTGGACACGTCCCAGCCCCCCGGCCTGGCTGAGCCCCCCCAGCTTCCCCATCTTCTCCCCCGCAGCTGCACAACCGGCTACATCAACCACAGCCTCTCCGTGTTCCGCGTCCAGGACTTCGAGCCCTACACAAAGGTGCCAGACTTTGCCAGGGATGAGATCCAGGAGTGCAGGTACCTGCAGCCCGTGCCCATCCCTCAGCACCACTCCCTGCCCCGCGCCCCTCACCGTGACATCCCGCCCGCAGCCGGGGAGCTGCGGCAGAGCAGGGCTTGGTGGCACCAGGTAGACGAAGCCACCACTGGGGCTCCTCTCAGACCCCCCCAGAGGGAGATAAAGTGGGGAGGGGGTCTGCGTGGCACAGGGGGAGCCTGGGACACCAACAGGGCTGTGCCGCAGGTACCGGGATTACAGGAACGCCGATGACTACAGCTACACAGTCCAGTTCTGGCACATCTTCGCAGCCCGGCTGGCCTTCCTCATCCTCTTTGAGGTAAGAGCCAGGGAGCCAGGCTGGGACATGGGGGTGGTGGTGGTGCAGGGACACAGGCTGGGGATGGTAACAAGTCTGGGGAGTCCCTCACTCCCTTTGCTTCCCACAGCACGTGGCTCTCTGTGTCAAACTGATTGCAGCCTGGTACGTCCCTGATGTCCCCCAGTCGGTTAAGAATCAATTTCTGGACAGAAAACACAACAACCTTCGTAAAGAATTGAGGTGGGTGATGCCCCAGGAGGTGCCCGGGGCTGCAGCAGAAAAGGTCCTGCTTAACGTGCATTACCTTCACAAAGAGCATTACCCAGCAACAAGGCCCCTCTCCCCAGCCCAGGCTCTCAGGCACCCAAGGCCAGTTAAAAGGGGTCCCACCAGAGGCAAATCCAGTACCTGAGCTCACCAGAGGAAGGGGGTGCTTGGCCTGGGCTTTTCCTTCAGAGAAGGAAAAGTTCTAAGTTAAAACAAGGAACAATTTTGCCCAAATTTTCAATTCAAACTTTGTTTTAAAAAAGTAAGCATTTCAGCTGGGAACAGAGAGAAAGTAGCTGAGATGTAGGCTGAGCTGCCCTGGTGCTGCTGTCCCCGTGGACTCAGCCTGCCTCTCTTCACCCCAAGATGCAGGTGGGAGCAGGGCAAGGGGGGCTCAGGCAGCCACAGTGCAGCTCCCAGGCTTCCCCTTGGCCTGGGGATTTCCCACCATCAGGGGTTCCTCACAAAGGAACATTTCCACACACAGCGCCTCATTCTTTCTCCATTGGCAAAAGGCCCAGTTCCCATCCTGACTATTTTCCCACCTCCCCACTTAAGCTCCCACCTTCCCAGTTCAGCCCGTTCCCTCCCTCCAGGCCCCTCTGCTCTCTCCCCCAGCATGATGGAATACTCCACCGAGGTGTAGCCTCCGCTCTCCGAGGAGGAGGAGCAGGGACTGGAGCCCAGCTCGGGAGGAACGGCTGCGGCAGCACCGCGGGGACCCAGCTGGGACTGAGCTGGGAAGTGACAACATGGTGCTGGCTCTGCTGGAGCAGGCTCTGCTGGAGCAGGCTCTGAAGGAGCAGGCTCTGAAGGAGCAGGCTCTGGTGTTTTCCCTGGCACGGCTGCGAGGAGGAGGTAAGTGATGGCAGAGCCAGGAGCGGTGCCTGCCCAGCACGCCGAGCAGCCGGGAGGAGCTTTGGCAGCAGGGACACAGCAGGGTCCTGCTGGTCTGCAGGAGACCACCCGGCTTCATCAGACACAGCTTTAACGTGCACCTCGGCACGGCAGGAAAAGCCAGTTCCCTCGTTCCAGCTTCCCTCTCCAGCTCTTGACCTTCCTGCTCTTGCACCGCTGAGAAACTCCTTCCTCGTCCACCACAGCCAGCTCAAACCTCTTGGCATGACGGCTGCCCGGCCTCTGCTGACACAGACACTGCAAAGGTGCAGCTGCTGGCCAGACCGTGCTTCGCTGCGGGCTCTGCTGGGGCTCTGCACCCCCTGAGCACACCCAGCACCTCTGCCTGCCTCAGCTGCCACGAGCAAAGTGCTACATAAACCTCCCACCCGTGCGGACACGAGCGGCCAGATCTCCAGCTGCCACCAAGTCCCTGTACCCACACCGGTCTCTCTCCCACCTCCCTCCTTTGCCATCTGCATCACCAAAGAAATTGTCCTCCCCAAACCATTTTTTGTCTTGAGGGAGCTGAGGTGTCTGTGCACAGCCCAGAGCTGGGGCCCAGCAGCCCCACGCGGCGGGAGAACCTGTGGGATGTGCTGGGGTGACAGAAATATGGAGCTGCACAGACAGTCAGGGTGACAGGGCTGGCAGGGGTAGCTCTTGCCCCAAAACAGGACCTGCTAGCCCAAACCGGAGCCAACCCCATCTCCCCACACAGGCAGAAGAGGTTTGTCCCAGCAGGGCAGAGGGGACATCCCAGGGCCAGGCTGGGGTCACAGCTGACACTGCCCCTTCTCCAACGCCTGCTTTCCTCTTGGCTCTGCTCTCTGCTGGCTCCACCCTCAGGGACCCCCTTCCCTGGCTCGAGGCAGAGAGATTTGTGCTTCAGGAGCAAAGTCTTTGTGGGTGGCTGCCCAGGAACCACCATGTGCCCTCACAAAAGTGACTCCACACTGGGTGTCGAGCACAGGAGCAGCCCTTTGATGCCCTGTGGGTGCCCACCCACCCTTCCCTAGCTGGGTGTGCAAATGTCGGGGAAAAAGCTTTTCACCTCACTTTTCCTAACCGCAGTTAATGAGGAAGGCAGAGGCACAGGGCAGGTGACCCAGCTCAGCTCCATCTCCGTTGGGATCCTCCAGGGCAAATCCACTGGGGCGTTTCAAAGCTTCTTTACAAGAACAAGAAACTTTGATAACGGTTTGTAAGTTTAACCTCGAGCTCCACGCTCTGGTCCCCTCCTCTCTGGGAAGCCAAGAGGCGCCTCCCAGTGCCGGAGGGGAATTGCGGGGATCAACTGCAGGCAATGGGGGAGCTGCAGGGGTGCAACAGTGTGAACACACGAGTGGCAGCCGTGACAGCCCACCCTGCCAGTGCACAGAGATACAGAGAAGCAAGCAGGAGCACCACAGGTCCGAACAACTTTTTCATTAGGGCTGACTTGCCTTGTTCTGTGATGAAGAGTCAGGCTGGCCCAAGCCCCCCGTACAGAAGCTGTGCAGTGATGCTTCTTCCCAGTTAAACCAGTCGTGGCTACGTGAGAGGCTGCAGAGCTGGGCTTGAGGGGACAGAGCAGTCCTGGTGTGAGAGGAAACAGCCAGAGCCCCCCCCCCCGTGCCTCCTCACAGAGGAGTGGTGACTCTGATTGCAGGTCTGTACCGAGGTGGCACCTCAGCCCCGCAGCGATGCTCTCCTTGCTGGGACTTGGAAGCAAACCCTGGTTTCACATTGTGCCACTGGCCTTGGAACAGGCACCTGGCAGCTCTAAGTAGATTAATTAGCATCAAGCTGTTAAATGCATCAAGAATGGGCTGTCAGGGAGCTCACCACCCTAGGCAGTCACTTTCACTCACCTGGTGAATGCTCCCCCCCCAGCCCTGCTGACCCAGGCACTGCTGCCCGGCAGGGTCACTGCTGAACCCCACCAGAGCCCCCCACGGGCACCTCCAGCAGCTGGTGGGTCCGTAGGGGCTGTGCCCCGTGGCTGAGGCCAGCACAGCCCCCAGGTGACAGTCCCAGAGGTGACATCCCCAAGGCAGCACTGCACAGAAAGGCAACGGAGTTAATTCAGCCTCAAACCTTCCCTCCCAGGAGCGTGGGGAACCACCAACCACCCTGGGACAAGCCCTACAGCGCTCCCAGCCCTCTGGCTTGGTTGCTGCGACCAAAACCACCTCCTCTCCTTGCCTTCAACTCACCTACCCAAAGGAATTAACTCTGAGGGACAAGAAAAGGTTTTATCAGCTCCCAATTTGCTCCCAAGCCTCCCCACCCTCTTGTCATCCCCAGGACCTGGGCGGGTTCCTTGGGATCCTTGATTATTCCACAATCCCGCTGGTTTTCACTGGCCCTGGCAGCCTGGGCCTGGACGTGACCGTGGGTTTGTGGGCAGCAGAGAATCCCCCCCCAGC